ATGAGGCATCGATAAACACGAAGGTCAATCTAGTTTGATGTGTTAAAACAATTCAGTTCAGGGCCCCGTTCACATACTGTGGAGTACGTTTGAGAGTCGACTCGTAGTTTATTTTTAACTGCTCAAATTGTAGCACAAAGCATCAGTGATTGAAGAATTAGGCTCCCGATCTCTGGGTCAGATTCCTTGGTGAGCAAAATAGGTATTAACTAAAGCTAATTCTAAGAGACATCTAAAACTGAAATAAGTAAATATCATAAAGACATACAGGATAAAATAAAATTAAAAAACACTGCTTGTGACATCTGTATCTGAAATTAAAGTTGTTTATTAATATCCGCCTTGTATTAAAAAGAAAATAACTGGTTAGATTACGAGTATAGGTATGTACCTATACTCGTAATCTAACTAGTTATTTTCTAAATATAGTTATTTTCTAAAGAATAAAGTTAATGTTTATTTAAGTGCCGTATTTTAATTTGTATGTCGAGCTGTCATTTCTAATAGATGACGTTGCGATAAGTTGCTGTCAACTAAATAATACAGCTTATTTATTTGACAGCTTGACTAACTTCTAAGCCCGGCTGTCTACGCCATAATGTCGCTGCTGATCTATGGACCAATCACAGCGCGTAACGTGGGCGCTCCCGCGCCGAGCTGTCAAATTCACACTCCAACGACAGACCTCTTTCGCCTCCCGAACTATTAACTTGATTGCATTGTATTTATATTCAAACTTGGTAAATCTATAAACCTAATATTCTAAAATCCAAATCTTTTATTGTTCGTCTAAATTCCCTGAACAAAACCGTGACAGGACTAATATTCCGCCTAAAACACGAAGTCTCAATTCAACGGTCAACCGAACGCGTGGAGGGCAAAGGTCATCGCCTGCGCGCGGAGCAATTTGCAGCCAAGTCAAGCCTAACCAAGGACGGAAACCATCAGCGGTGACTACAACGGAGCGCACACGCAGCCAGTTCGCGCCCCGCACCGCCCCACAACAGAAGTATCGAAGAAATTACGGAAAACGGATCACGCCTACGTACGAGGTGGACGGACAGCAGCCAACAGCCTGGACTACTCTTCCCAGCATTGCTTCCTGCCCTTCTAACTGTGAGCCCGTTCCTTTTCTTCTATCCTAATTTCGTCCCCTTTGACTTGTGCATATTAGTGAACTTTGTAACTTGCATTCAAGTGGTGTTTTACCGTTAAATTCGCACTTTCAAATCAATATTCTGTGCCTAACTATTCAAATTAACTCTTCTCATTCGCAATTTCACGCTTTAAATCGCCCACATTCCATTATTTTAAGAACTTTCGATTTTTTTTGGCACTATATTCCTACCTTCATTTCAAATTTAATTATTTTCCATCACTTCTTCTTTCATACTGCGCACTAGCTTAATAATTTGCTCGCCTACGCTAAATTCTGTGCTACAATTGCATTTATTTTAAATATTTTGCACTCATTTGCATATTTCAATTGACTGACTACGATTTAAGCATATTATTAAGCTACAACGCGTACATAAATATCGCCCCGCTTCTCAATTTAATTTAATTTCCGCATAATAAGTGCACAAAAATAACATTCCAGTGTGCTTCGATTGGGTGCGGTCATCGACCGACCACGCGCTACGAACGTGCACTCGGCGCCTATTGTTCTCGCGGCCACCTGCTACCTACGACTCGAGCGCATCAGCTGATCGACCCGCTGCGCATTCAACGTGCATCTCAGCCGGAACACGAAGTGAGGAGCGTATCGTATTCAAATTCATTATTTTTTATAGTTTTCCGTTAACGTAACTTATTTTGCCACAATGTCTAATGACTCAAAGACCCCCGAAGGGTATTCTTCGCTTAATTCTAGGCGTGGAATAGCCAAGGGACGTCTAACAAAGTTTAAAAATCACGTTGATAATTTATTAACGCTAGAAACTGTATCTGAACTAGAAATTAGCAAACTTTCAATGAAATTATCTAGAATGGAGTCATTATACATTGAGTTCGACGAGCTGCAAAGCCAAATCGAACTGATGAATGTGTCAGATTTAAGTGTCGAACTAACAACTCGTGATATTTTTGAACAAGATTTTGATACTTACATTTCATTGGCTCAACAAACTATAAAAAAGTACTCACCTTCCAAATCTTCTCAAGATGAAATAACTTCAAATACTTCAACTCATGCCACTCATCACCATTGCCATGACGAGGGCCATAATCCACTTGGGTTTAAACTACCTACTATCAAAATACCCAGCTTTGATGGCACCTATTACAAATGGTTAGAGTTTAAAGAAACGTTTTGTTCATTGGTTCATGACAATCATAAAATAAACAATATACATAAATTTCACTATTTAAATTCTTACTTGGAAGGTGAAGCAGCTCGAGTACTTTGTAATTTAGAAGTTACAGCCAAAAACTATCCAGAGGCTTGGCAACTTCTGTGCGAGCGCTTTGACAACAAAAGACAATTAATTAATAATCACTTAAAATCTTTATTTAGTTTTGAACCAATGCGTGAGTCAGACAAGTCTTTGCGTTATGTAATTGATCATGTAACAAAAAATCTGCGTGCCCTCTGTACGCTAGGACTACCTACCGATAAATGGGACGTCCTAATAATCTACATGGTTACAGCAAAGTTAGATGGCATTACTTGTTTTAAATGGGAAGAACATAGGAATTCTATCTCTGAAATACCTACTCTCAATGATTTTTTTAGCTTTTTGAAAAGTCGTGCTGACGTTTTAGAAACTGTTTTTCGTAACAAGCAAGACCGAACGAAGCCTATAGTTTCTCCAATTCAGCCTAAAACTCAAACAAGGTCTCTTGTCGTTACGTCTAAGGAGTCTATTCCTAATTATAACAAAAATTTTGTGTGTGCAGTGTGCCAGGCAAATCATCGCCTCTATGAGTGCCCCACATTCAAATCTAAATCTCCAGAAGATAGGAACTCCATTGTAACGTCACTAAATTTATGTAAAAATTGTTTTCGGCCCGGACACAACACTGACAACTGTAAACTTTCAGGTTCTTGTCGTGTCTGTAAAAAGCGCCACAATTCATTACTACACATTTCAAAAGGCAATGAAAATACCAGCACTAATTATTCGCTTTCAATGTCTGTTATTTCAGCCCCTGAAGTTTTGCTGTGTACAGCTCAAGTCATAATATTCAATCCTATCACTAACAAATCTTTGACAATACGAGCCTTACTTGACAGCGGAAGCCAGTCATCCTTTATAAGTTCAGCAGTTATGCAACAATTAAAACTGACTTCTCAGCCATCAAATGTCAATGTAATTGGTATCGGTCAAACTCCACTCAAGCAAACTACGGAGAGATGTGCTCTTCGTCTAAAATCCAAATCTTTTATTGTTCGACTAAATTCCCTGAACAGAGGTCAATTCTGTACATGAAATATATTTTCAAAACAACTATCAGGGGGTGATTAATGATCGATACTGATGCCAAAAATGCAATCAGTAAAATTTTTGTCTGTCTGTCTGTATGTTCCTTATAGAAACAAAAACTACTCAACGGATTTTAACGAAACTTGGTACAATTATTCGTCATACTCCTGGGCAGGTTATAGTATACTTAGAAATTCCCACGGGAACGGGAATTAGCGGAAAAATCCTTTTGTATGAAAAATCTAAGCCGCTTAAGTTAGCCGCTTGAAATTTGGTATCCAGGTACCTTAGTAAACTTAAAACTTGGTTACAACAAGATATTGCAAAATTCCCACGGGAACGGGAGTTAGCGGGAAAAAAACATTTGTATAAAAAAATCTTAACCGCGTAGGATAGATGAAGGGGGTAAAACGGGATCTACGCGGACGAAGTCGCGGGCGGCCGCTAGTATTTTAATAAAAATGATGCAAATTCGTATGAAAGTTTACGTTGGCTTGAAATGTAGGTAAAATATTATATCTTTCCTACGATTGTTAGTAAGAAGCTGTCTGTGCTCATAAAATAAGATAAATAAGAAACACTCGATTTAGCTTAGTACGAGGAGCTAACGGGATAATTTGCNTTCGCCACTGATGAGTCCAGCAGCGTGACGGTGGACCCTTCGTCCAGGAGCGCGAGCACTTTTGCCGTCCCTTTGGGTCCGTAGAGGTTTACCGGCGTTATCTTCAAGTAGGCCCTTCCGCAGCTCGTGGTGTGCACTGACGACACAACTCCTTTGGCGGGCTTCTCTCGAGTCTTTGTTGCTGCGGACTTCTCCGAGTGAAGACTGGTGTGATGCCACCTCGTGCACTTCTTGCACGGCTGTGCCCGGCATGTGTTCCTTGCGTGCTTGAAGCGCAGGCATTTGAAACACATTCTTGCCTTCTTCACCATTTCCCACTTATCTTCAACACTGGCTTCCTTATATTTTTTNGAAGCCAGTCATCCTTTATAAGTTCAGCAGTTATGCAACAATTAAAACTGACTTCTCAGCCATCAAATGTCAATGTAATTGGTATCGGTCAAACTCCACTCAAGCAAACTACGGAGAGATGTGCTCTTCGTCTAAAATCCAAGCAAAGTTCATTCAAAGTATCCATATCATGCTTAGTCATACCTAAAATTGCAGACAACTTACCTAAAATACCTATTGATTCAAATGTCCTAAATCTGCCTAATGTCAAGCTAGCGGACCCTAATTTTCACAGTCCTTCAACTATTGACATGTTGATTGGTGCTGATCTATTTTGGCAACTAATAANGAAGCCAGTCATCATTTATAAGTTCAGCAGTTATGCAACAATTAAAACTGACTTCTCAGCCATCAAATGTCAATGTAATTGGTATCGGTCAAACTCCAATTAAGCAAACTACGGAGAGATGTGCTCTTCTTCTAAAATCCAAGCAAAGTTCATTCAAAGTATCCATATCATGCTTAGTTATACCTAAAATTGCAGACAACTTACCTAAAATACCTATTGATTCAAAGGTCCTAAATCTGCCTAATGTCAAGCTAGCAGACCCTAATTTTCACAGTCCTTCATCTATTGACATGTTGATTGGTGCTGATCTATTTTGGCAACTAATAGGGTCCAAACAAACAACTCTAGGGAAAAATATGCCTATACTTCGTGATTCAAAATTAGGTTGGCTAATTGCAGGTCCTCTGCCAAGTTTTACCAAACCTATTCCTAATAAGCAAATCATATGCAATTTCACACAAAATAATCAAGATTTCCCTAATCTAGAAAAACAAATGTCAATTTTTTGGGAGCTAGAGAGCCTTCCACCCACTAAGCCTTATACACGCGAGGAAAGACTTTGTGAGCAACATTTCATCGCCAACACCACTCGTGAGGACAGTGGCCGTTTTTGTGTTGCTATACCCTTACGAGACGATAGAGATTGTTTAGGTAATTCCTATCAATTAGCAAAGAAAAGATTTATTAGCTTAGAAAGTCGTTTCAAAAGGCAACCAGAACTCAAAAAGGCCTATTCAGAATTTATTGAAGAGTATGCTGAACTCGGTCATCTCTCTGAAACTAAGAGTTCACTATTACCCACAAATTGTTATTTTCTACCTCACCACCCGGTTATTAGAGAAAAAAGTGAATCCACAAAATTAAGGGTTGTGTTCGATGCATCAGCTCGCACTTCCTCTGGTTTCTCTATTAATAATTTGCAAATGGTAGGACCTATAGTACAGGATTCTTTATTTAACATTCTCCTTCGTTTCCGCCAACACAAATATATTTTATCGGGGGACATTGAAAAAATGTACCGCCAAATCAATGTTAGAGAGTCAGATCGTAGCTTTCAAATAATTCTATGGCGTAACAATGAAGGCGAAACTTTAAAAACATTTCAATTAAACACAGTAACCTACGGGTTCTCGAGTGCAAGTTTTCTTTCTACAAGGTGTATCTGGCAATTGGGGGAGGAATGTGATGATCCAAATGTTAAAACTATTATTCAAAGAGATTTCTATTGTGATGATTTGCTTACAGGAAGCGATTCGGCTTCAGAACTTCGTCATATTCAGCGCTCGGTGTCAGATGAACTATCTAAAGGCTGTTTTAACCTCAGGAAATACAGATCTAACCTTCCTGATTTATTCCCTGCAAATGAATTGCAAACTGAAACAGATAACCTAATAATCAGTCATGCCACTAGTACATTAGGTATCGGCTGGTCGCCTAGTTCAGACAAAATTAACTTCGAAATCGAAGCTCATCCCATCAAAACTATCTCTAAACGATCTATTCTCTCCGCTACCTTTAAAATATTCGACCCACTGGGATTGCTCTCATTATGCACTATAAAACCCAAGATAATATTGCAAAAACTATGGTCTCTAAAATTAGATTGGGATGAGCCTGTCCCTGATGGCATTCAAACAACTTGGTTAAAGTTTGCTCAAAATGTACATTACATTTCAGCTTTAAATGTTCCCAGGCTTGTTCTAATGCAAGATCGATCGACAATCGAGCTGCATTGCTTCTGTGATGCTTCAGAACAAGCGTATGGCGCTTGTGTCTATTTAAAGTCAACCAACACATCAGGTAACAGTCAAGTTCATTTGCTTACCGCCAAGGCGCGCGTCGCTCCCATAAAGACCATCACTATCCCAAAATTGGAACTGTGTGCTTGTCTCCTAGGTGCACAGCTTAGCTCGTCAGTAACAAAGGCCTTAAGGTGCAAAATCGATAGACAGTTCTACTGGACTGACTCTAGTATTGCCCTAGGTTGGCTCAAGTCCGAAGGTAAAGCAAAAACCTTTGTAGCTAACAGAGTAGCTATTATAGGAGAACTCACCGATGTCTCTATGTGGCGACACGTACCCACTGTCGACAATCCAGTAGACCTGGCATCTAGAGGCATAGATCCTCAAAACCTAAAAGATTGTTCTTTATGGTGGCACGGGCCTACATTCCTTCTTCAGCCAGAATCTTCCTGGCCTACATTTACTGTTCCCGTTACCGTTCTGGCGGCGGAAGTGACACCTGAAGAACAGGTGGTCGATTTTAATAGATTTTCTAAACTCTCTACTCTACAAAGAGTTATGCTTGGGTATTCAGATTCATTCACAATTGCAAAAATCCTAAAAATAAATTTGTTAAAGAACTCCAAATAAATGAATTAACTAAATCAAAAGAAATGCTCATAATTATAGCTCAAAACGAATGCTTTCATGACGAAATAAATCGTCTCAAATTAAATAAGTCTCTTTCACCCAAAAAGCATCTCTCATCCCTCAATCCATTTTTAGATCAAACTGGAACCCTGCGTGTGGGAGGTCGCATAGACAATTCAAATTATGACTATGAAAAACGGCATCCTGTAGTTTTAAACGCAAACCATCCTCTAACAAAAATGATATTTCAACAGGAACACCTCCGACTCCTACACTGCGGTCCCCAACATTTGTTAGCCTCTATAAGAGATCAGTATTGGCCTATAGGTGGTCGTAACTTGGCACGAAAAACAGTTCGTAATTGTCATGTATGTCGACGCTTTACGAGCAAGACTATGTCTAATATCATGGGAAATCTACCCAATGAACGCGTTGAGCCTGACTATCCATTTAACACAGTGGCCACTGACTTTGCTGGACCATTTTACATTACAGATAGAAAGGGGAGAGGCTGCAAAATCACAAAATGTTACTTATGTATTTTTGTGTGGTTTCGGTACAAATGTGTTCATTTAGAAGCAGTAAGTGAACTAAGTAAGGATGCATTTATTTTAACTTTAAATAGATTCATTGCACGTAGAGGTATGCCAAAAATTGTATATTGTGACAACGGTAGAAATTTTGTTGCCGCAGCCAAGGAAATTTTTAATTTTGTAGAGTCCAATAAAGACACTATTTTAGACTTTGGAGCTCGTCGGGGCATCGAATTTAAATTTTCTCCGGCATACGCTCCTCATTTCAATGGTCTGGCTGAGGCGGGGGTCAAATCAGCTAAACATCACATTTCTAGAGTTCTCGGACACACTCACTTGACTTTCGAGGAACTCAGTTCTCTATTTGCACAAGTTGAAGCAATCCTCAACAGCCGCCCCCTTTGTCCCCTCAGCTCCTCACCTAATGACTATCAGTCCCTTACCCCGGCTCACTTTTTGATCGGTAGGTCGCTGACATCGCTGCCGTCGCCGAGCCTCATGGACCACAACAGCAATCGCCTCGACCGCTTCAAACGCCTCGAACAATACAGACAACACTTCTGGAAGCGGTGGGCCACCGAATATGTTGCTGAGCTACAACAACGCACAAAATGGCGAACCAATTGTACTAACTTGAAACTAGATGATCTAGTGCTCGTCAAGGATGACAGCACCCCACCCCTATGCTGGCGATTAGGCAGAATTGCCAAGATATATCCTGGAACCGACTGCGTGCCTCGCGTCGCTGACGTCACCACTTCGCAAGGAACGATCAGGAGAGCACTCAATCGCCTCTGCCTTCTACCAACATCAGAAAACCAGTTTTGAAAGCTCTATTTCGCTAGAGCTTCCAAGGGCCGGCAAGATGTCTACGCCATAATGTCGCTGCTGATCTATGGACCAATCACAGCGCGTAACGTGGGCGCTCCTGCGCCGAGCTGTCAAATTCACACTCCAACGACAGACCTCTTTTCGCCTCCCGAACTATTAACTTGATTGCATTGTATTTATATTCAAACTTGGTAAATCTATAAACCTAATATTCTAAAATCCAAATCTTTTATTGTTCGACTAAATTCCCTGAACATTACTAAACTATTTATTAATCAACCATTGTTTCCTGGACGCGCACTTGCTAGAAAATAATAAAACAAACAAACGGTTAGTCATACTGTCCACACTAGGTTAAACATGAGAAGCTGATGATGACGTCTTTAAATATTTTAATTCTACTTAGCATTTTGGGAGCCGCGTTTCGTTTCCAATATACATCATCTTATAGGCTCGAATCCCGCCTACGGTAAATTTTAGTCTGTAGTAAACGTGTACTCAATTTGTAGGTATTCGATTATAATCAGGGTTCGAAAAGATAATTATCAATGATAATTATCACGATAATTATTATAATTATCATGAAGCGTAATTATCTTGATAATTTGGAACCCTGATTATAATTATAATTATTTAGTTATTTTCTCTCATACATGATTCACAATTGGTACATACAAGTAAGCTCTTCTTAGTAAGGAAATAATGCATTAATAAAAACTATTATTACTCTTAAGATAAGAGACGAATATAATACTAATAGTTGTTGCGGTGACCTCTTGTAAAGGCCATGTTTTTCAAACTCCATAGAAATAAACAGAAGTTTGAAGGCAGTTACGTTACCGTGACGTATCCGTGATTATTATTTGCACTACTTTATAGTCACTGGGAACCACTGAAAGTAAAGATTTCTATTGTTTTTATTGGTATTTAATTAAACCTAAATTGATAATTAAAAGGTTATTCACTTGCATTATTACATCATAAAAAGGATCTTCTTTTTATTAATATCTTGTTGAAGGTGTAATCCACCTAGTTCCCATGAGAAAGTATTAATTAATTGACATAACTGTATAAATAAATAAAATAATACAACATTATGACTGCCTTCATATAAAAGATCTCAACGCGCTAGAGGCTGCAATCGAAAAAATAAAATGGAATTTTTTTTAGTGACTGTTAAAACATCTTCGGTTTATTAAATACATGTCTAATTATAATTCTTAAGAACAATTTTGTATATTTTTTACGATTGGACACTAATAAAGCCCTTTAAATACAGGGTCAACTTCATAAAGTCAACATCCAATTTAAAAAGTAACGTCTTTTTCCACAAAATTACTTGTTAACTTGATAGTTAACAAGGAACTTAAACTTTAATATTTTCTACCGAGTGATTAAAGCTATTATTACGAACTTAATAGCGTCTTTAAATTGGCAAAGTACCTACCATGAAAAGATATGCGTCGAATGCGGAAAATTACATGACTGAGAAAATAAATAAATTGAGTTACCAATTTATGCCTATTTTGAAAGAATATTGTTTTGGGAGGTTTTTTATATCGGGATTGAGGGAAACATATTTATAAATATGCATAAAAAATTAAGTAAAAAAAAAAGATTAAAATGTTAAGTTAAAAATTTTCATAAATAATTTTAAATGTTTAATTATTATGATTACACACGTAAACATTGTTTTGCAAAAGAAATAATTTACATTTATGTTTTAATCTTTAAGTTATTCGCAAAAAGTGCAAAAAGAAGACTTTTACGGTCGCCGAACTCCGCTGGTTGCCAAAAGCGGTCAAAATGACATGTGAATGCTAAGTGACAGCTCGACAGCTCTCGGCCCTTGATTTTATCGACCGACACATTTTAAACTGAGACCCGCTATAAAATGCGTGCGTGGAATAATTTCCTGACAAATTACTCCATTATTCAGATTAGATTTGATTAAAATCCCAAAAATGGCCAAGCTTTTCTACAAAATATTTCTGTAAAAAGAATGAGGAATTTTAAAGATGACTAAAGGACGCTTAGGCTTATTACTAGTGATGGCCCGACTATGGTTTTTGCCGACTAACCGACTAGCCGACTAATCAGTTTTCAAATTGCGGACTAATCGGCAATGCCGATCATTCTAATGGTTACTTTTCGGAAGATTAATATCTAGATTTCTTAGGCCCGATTTGATCAAGCTTTTATTCGAGAATAACTCCTGGTATAACTGGCACATTGACAGTTTTAATATGGGAAATAACATCTTATTTTAAAGAAGCTGAAGTTGCCTTACTAAATGTAGGTATCTTACAAATCTTACAGATATTTTAATTGATGAGTTAAGCTCGCGTTTTATTTCCAACATTTTTGATAGAAAAAAAAATATGGATCGCGTGATACTGATCTGGGGGCACGGCAGTGCCCCCACCAAGTCGAGCAAAAAAGCGGCACGGCCGTACCATCCTTTTCTCGAAGCAATTCAGGCCATTTTCGACTGCCTGTAACTTCGTTGTGGATAAAACTAGAAGGNCGATGGCCAAGTCAATATATTTATGTAAAACGTTAAAGATTTCCTGGCCTGGACTTGGTATTACATGGATCTCACAACTTTTTACCGTAGAACAACTGAGTTGCGAGACTTGGTTTTTTTGACAAGTATTGTTTTTGATGGGATTGTTTTGTCTATCATAAGACATTTCGTATAACTATTGCATTTATGGCGTAATAAAAAGTTTCATTTCAAAACATTACATGTAGTTATACAACTGCACACAATCGATATTTAAAAGATCTTTAATATTACGAGTAATACACGCAGTCGCACCAGTCTCCTAAACTAGTTCAGGAGCTTATATTTTAGTTTCAGATTTATCTGAAATATTTGTTTTACTGAAAAAAAATCCCACATTCATCAGAACACTATCTGTAGGTATACATTTTTGTAGGAATACAAATAACCTATTTAAAATATATTTTCCTTTATACCATACACACTCGTTATGAATACAATATTTAAATTTATTGTTTTAAACTTTAATGGTCATTAGTATATGGTATTTTTATTAATCCCGTCAGTAATAATAATTAATATTTAAATGAAAGAAAGTCGTTAACTGTTTGTCCAATTCTAGCTCCAGGTCTATCCGTAAGTGATGTCAGTGCAGTGAGGTTGCGTGCGCAACGAGTCTAATTGCACGAATGCGCGCACGCAGTGCCGCGGTATGAAGTTCATGTGTAGGATTTCGTTGGCAAACTGTGTCACTGTCACCTATGATCACGTTAATTTGAACTGATATTGAGGCCAAACTTGTGATCAAACGTTAGATTTTGAATATGGAATCGAATGTTGAGTATCGCTTCAAAAAAACGAGGGAATACATAAGTTGAAATCTATCAACGAACACCCAGGCCAGGGTTAATCAAATCGTACAGTTAATCAAATAATAATAACCAGGTCTATTGCTCATATTTGCGACACTTAATCACTGTAATCATTAACGTAGTTATTGAAGCGTTTTTTCCGCCTTCTTCTAAGTTCGAACGTGCATTGTCTTCTGTCGTTCCCACGAAACGAAGGGCCTGGTTTTGCATATAATCGAGCAGGCGCAGCCGATCACACCTTATAAGGGTATGATGAAGGGCCCGGCGGGGTACAGACGTCGCTTTTGCAAACGACGAGCGATGTTGTTACTTGGAGTGCCCAAGATTTGAGCAATATTAGGTTCATAGTCAGGTATAGCCTGACCAGGAACATAAAAACCCTCGCCATGTTGCGGAAAACTAATGGTACTAATTTCTTTTAATGGCAACAGTAACTGAAAACTTCATTGATATGTCACCTTGCATGTCAGNTTTATCCGTAGATCAATTAATATAGACCCAATAATTAATATAAAGATAAAATATAATAAAAAACATCATTTATTTTTAAAAGTGCACATACAAAAAAGATCAATTAGTTTTTAGAGGATCAAATAATATTGTCCCCTTATTTATAAGCTACGAGTCAAATGACCGTGCTAAAAATGATCTTATAAGACAATGACTATGACTAAACTTATGATTATGAACTATGAGTATGTGACGGATATCTGATAAGGATAAGGCTTATTGAGTGTGAAATTTTACGAGGAACTATGATGGAAATCAATATGAATATGAAGTAACTAATATCATAAGTATTAATTTAAAAAGGAATGTTTCTGCCATTTCATTCACTTTTTTTTTAAATATCTATGAAATCAAACACTTAACTATTTAAAATGTCTTTATCAATTCAGTAGTAGAGTATTTTTACAACAAAATAATTATAACTAATACATTGGGATAATTTTACAATTTACTTGAAAAAATGGGGTCATAAAACTCTTAAATAAGTATATTTTATGATTCTTTAAATTTTTGAGTAGGTACCAATTACATTGTTACTAACTTTTGTAAAAATGAAATGATTCGTCTTCGTCCTATTTAGTTAAGCATAGTGATTAATAATAATTTCTTTATAATAAAATAATGGTTTGTGTAGCCTAATAAAATAAAAAATATTGTAAACTATGTTATTTAAAATTATAAATTGAAATGACTGTTCAGTTAATGAATGATAACCTAATTGTTCATGTGAAATTATTTCTTATTTTACTGTGAATTTCAATGTTTATTTGTATTACATTATTAATTTGATTTAAATTACATAAATGTGCTATTAATACAAGATTTGGTTTATCAGTTAATAACGAAATTATTCTAAAATTCTAAATTATTAAAATAACCAATGTAAAATTTTTGGCAAGGTGTATTTAGAAAAAGTTATATATTTTTTTCCAACCATTAAAAATGTAATTGTTATTGTAACATATGGAGGTATCTGTGAATTTACTTTTATAAACCAATGTCAGTTTGTATGCTAGCTCAGTTCTCAAATAGACGTTATTGCGAGCACTCCGTTGTTTTATTTATCAGTGGCGACTGCGGGTGGACTATTAATTTACGACGCCGGTTAACTTTTTTTGATTTGCGAACGTTATCATGTCGAAATTAAGTGAATTTAATGTGAAGGACGGTAATTGGCAGTTATATTGTGATCGACTCGAAATGTACTTTATTGTGAACAATGTGAAAAGTGAAC